TTTCGCTGTTTCGTGTTTAATTCGCCGTTTCTGATCGCGGAAAGTAATTCAAGTAACTGCACCCTTGTCGACTGTTTTCCGCTCTTTTTCCTGCCCTTTTCAATCGACGATAGATATTTTATTAGCCGATCGCTCGATCCTTCGAAATTTCTGAGCAAATTCCCAAATTTTAGGGTTTACCGCCATTCGCCGTTCCTGAAATCATTTGAAAGATTCTGTTCTTGGATCAGATTTGAACTTTTTTTTTGGATAATTTTGATGCTCTTTTTCGTGTAGATTTGGCGTCTACTTCGGAGTGGGGAGCGATGGAGACGGAGGAGCTTATCGAAATCCAACCTCGAGAAATCAAGTTCACTTGTGAGTATAATTTTTTTTTTTGGGATGACTTTTAAATTTTGTTATTTATTCGAGGCAGTTTTAGTTGCTTTTTTTTTTAAATAATGTGGGTATTTGAGGGAATTTTAGTTGCTTCTCGAAATCCACATTTTGTAGTTAAATAGAAACACATCTAGTTTAGAAAATCTCCGACTCAATCTCAAATGTGAACGTTGCATAATGCAAATTCTCGTTGCTTTCGCCAACTTGGTCTCCATCTTAACGCCTTAAATTCATATGGGTTTGGTTTAGGCAGGATTTAGAGCCTTTGTTGGATCCTTAGTGCTTGAAGATTCACCTTTGTTTCTTAATTCGTTAGTTTTATGATTTTTACAGCTTTCCTCACTTGTCCCTTTTCAGGACTTTAGCCTAGCTATTGCTTATCCATGTTCTACTTGGGCAAGATCTTTACACCAATTATGAGAGGATGACTTCTTGCTGAAATTCTTGGATCTTGAGATATTGTTGAATCCTTCACGGAGCCTTGTGCTCCAAAGCTAACCCATTTTATATGAGAACATGCATAGATAAGTGTCATGTATCTAACCTAAATCCCACCACTGCTCAATCCCATTTGTGAGAAAATAAATTTTTGCATGGACATACATGCGGGAGTCAGCGACAAACACTATTCAGATTGTCTTATGACAAGAAGGTAAGAATATATACTAGGAGTAGAGAAAATTCTGCTCCTTAAATCATAACATGTTGTTTTACTGCAGCAAGTAGGCATATCTCTCTGATAATACAGCACTGACCTGAGAGGATACAGTAACTTGGAAACTAAAACATGTAGGTCTTAATTTATTATTCACTTATAGTTTTGTATAGGGGTCCAATCAGGTTGGTTTGGGTAAGCTTCAAGACCAATACACAACCAAATACACTGCCTGATGCTAGAATAATGAATTTTTAGTCTAAGTTGGATCTCTCAGGTCTTGTTTTGTCAGATTGGTTAGGTTGATTTATATTCATGATATTAAAATTCAAAAACTTCTATACAGATTACACTTATTCAATAATTCAAAGCGCTGTCACCAGAACTATCAGAAACCAACACAGCCTTTTTTTAATCAAAGTCTTATTACAGCAAATACCAAACATCTAAGAAGATAGTTGAACTTTCTTTGTGTATAACACATTGAGATATCTAACATGAACGGGCTCAAAGGCGACTTTCTTTAATTTAAGAAGATATAAAATTAGAGTTAGAGATGAAGGTCAGTAGCATGTATACATGTGCGTGCATACACGCGCGCGTGCACTCCCACACACACATGTATAATTGTTGGAAATTCGTGCTAAATACATACAAAATATGCAACGGAAGACTGTATATATAATAATACTAAGTATGTAGAGAGCATGAAAAACAAGCTAGGACCATCCTAATTAAATCTAACATGATCCCTATATTAAAGAGAGCATACAAGAGTTAGAAAGTCATACTTTCGAAGCGTGATTCGATGGAAGATCGAACAATCCCTAACTCTTACTCATTGTAGTAGTAAATCTCTTTGTAGTGGATCTCCGAGTCTTCAAGTGAGCTTGATAAAATCGGAGTCTTCTTGAGACACAATGCAAGATATCCACCCTAGGGTACTTTAAAATCCTACTACTTCCTCTTACTCAAAGATTGCTAGAGTTTAGTAAGAGGTAGATCTCTCTTCTTTTCTTTTATGGAAATCAACTATGAATAAACTATTTATTTTATTTTTCCATTATAACCATGAAAGAAGAAAGAGAGCTCATATTTATAGAGGAAGAATATGTCATGACATGAATGACTCATCCTATGAGTCACATCATGAGTCATCAAAATAATGATTCTCTCATGAGTCATGCAATGACTCATATCATGAGTCATGCAATGAATCATGAAGAATCAAAACTATGTGCTAAAACCATGTTCCCAAACCATACCACCTTAATGACTCATCTCATGACTCATTAATCAAGGTATAATGAAGTGTGTATTTCATAAATAAAAATACCACATCAATACTGTATTTCGTAATTTTCTAATTATTAACTAATAAGTCATCATATGACCAAAAAGTCAATGAGTTGACCAAAAGTCAACTGTTGACCAAAAAGTCAATCAGTTGACTAAAAGTTAACTTTATGGGGGAAATACTGAAATTCATTTCTTAAGCACATAGCATTCTGATTTTACCGATACATATAACCGTTTATGTGTATCCGGTGAAAATCATATATGCGTATCAATCATACGCATTACTCTATAAATTTGTATTTCATATGATTTAAGTACGCGCTTGGTGTGACTCTAGGGCCCAACTTAAGAACTCGGCAGTGGATGATAATGATATCCACAGTATAACAGAGATGCTAGCTACACATAAAGACTACTCGGGTATAAGTTGTGATAAATATCTGTAAGATGCTTACACAATTTTATCAGGACCACTCAGTGATAATACCATACAGTCCGGTCTCTTCATCAAACTATGTCAAACTATTGAGACTAGGGTATGGAAAACTGTCAAACCCTAATTGCTCAATTAGTGTTTGTTGATATTAAACTCATAACCTATAAGATCAAACTGACACTCAGTTTATCTTATTTACCTCAGCCAAGGATTTTCAGGTTATAGTTATATCAAATAATCTTATGATATCAACCCCTTATACTGGGAGAGAAGAATCCCATCTTGGTATCTCAATATCTACTTATGCCTCGGGATGTACCCAACAAGAACCGTTATGCACAACTCGATGAGAACTGTGGTTAGGTAAAAGTCTAAGTACATCTATACTGACATGTAAGATATTGCACTCATGCCTTAGGTCATGAGACTACTTTGTACTATATCACTTGAGAACTTTTATTTGACAGTTAAGTATAATTACCAACTAGATGTTCTCGGTGAGTCGTTCAGTCAACTCATTCACTAATGAGTCACCTGTATACTGTATTTTGATGTCTTACATCAATGATCTAAGAGATGGATCATCGTCCTCCCAAAGGAGAAATAGAGTATACACTAGTCTTCCCAAAGTGATGATATCCCTTTTCAACACTTCATCGACTAGGAACATTTTAGAATATACGTTAGCGACAAATCAGATCTCTTCATTACGATCAAATCCGAAATGTCTGATAGTCTAATATCATTCTAAGGACTTTATCTATATTTAAAAATACCAGATAAATCTGACCAAAATAACATACTATCATTTTGAACAAGGATGTTATATTCATATAGGTCCTGTTACAATATACAATTATTACCTGCAGGGCACCTATATCTAACAATAATAACATATTATTTAGACTAGATCATATTGTCATTAATGCTAATCTATCACAACAAAGAAAGAATTCCTACTCAAACTTCTGTATCCAAGCCCAACCAATCTGGTTTCCACCCTGCCGATCAGATCAGAAAATCAAGTTGGGTATTAGTAGGGATCAGGTCAACCCAACAATTTGTGTGTCTACTTTGTATATATTTCTTAAGTGAAGGAACATTTGGCCATCTTAACGTATTTCTTACACACATAAAAATTTAATATTATACTGCCATGTTCATCTTATGTATATATTTCTTAAGTGAAGGAACCTTTGGCCATCTTAACGTATTCTTACACACATAAGGCTTATTGGAAAATCATAAACAAGCTTATGTATTGTTTTTGGTCACACTTGTGCAGGAGGAGTAATGGAACTAGAAGGAATTGGTTATAAAACTTACCCAACTAAGCATCTTTGAGTTTCAACTACTTTGATCATCTGTATCATGTGTATCAACAAACCAAGTAGATTGATAATTAGTGCCAATGAAACAGAAAGAAGAAATATTTTTGGGTTATTTGCATTTTAATACCTCCAAATTTCACCCTTTTTAACTTTCATCCCTGAAGTTCTATTTGACATTGTGATACTAATGTACAATAAGTTGGAACCCCTTTTGTTCAAGAATATTTATCAACTTATAAAATTGAATGAGAAAAATTTTTACTTACCGAATTTCATTTTTTTTTTTGAGTTTGAGGAAAGCGAGGAATGAAGTTAGGAATTTGGCATATCAAATTGTCAAATTAATGCCGATCTGAAAAAGTCAGAATATCAAATTTGTCAAAAATAGAACTTCTGCTTATCAAATTTAAAAAAGGGGTGAAACTTTGGAGTGTTAAAATGCAAATAAAGCCATACTTAGTTACATTTTCTCCCTGATTGTTCTTTTAGATTTATGTGGTCAACAATTTGTTAAATTTGGAAGGCAATACTTTGACGCTTCTTCCTCGAAACATTTTCATCATCCTTTAACTTCACTTTTTTTGTCTGTTATCTATGGAATTTTACTTACCTTCATTTGTAATTATCATTTGTAATTATTTTGATATGCTGACACGTTGAGTTCAACTATATTTACATAGATCTAGTGGAATTTGAATTGACTTCTTCTTTTTTTCCTTTCCTTTTCTTTTGTAGTCGAGGTAAAGAAGCAAAGCTCCTGCTTAGTGCATCTGGTCAATAAGACCAACGAATATGTGGCATTCAAGGTAAATAACCTTCCATTTTTCTTTTGTCTCTTTTGCCCATTCATGTTTGCATTTCATATAAACGAGACCTGTGCTCCAAAATAATCAATTATGCTCTCAGTCAAAGTTGTCACTTTGAGAGTTGTACACTATTCCACATTCTACAGTGCTAGTTTTCTTCTATTGAGAGCTGCACATCATCCTCTCTGTAAGAGCGTCTCTTACATTATATATAGTTGGCTAAAAGATCAATTTGGTCCTTGTACTGGGACTTCATTCTTAAATTGGTCCAACTTGCCCCTATTTTAACTTTCTGTTAAAAATTCTGTTAAATAAAGATTGGAAGGACAATTTTACTTGGCTTTGCTAGAAGGGACGAGCGACAGAAAGTCTTCTTTTTCTTAGTCTTCTCTATCTAAAGAAAGTTTCGATTCCGCAGAACCTATAGGAGCAATAGACAGAGTTAGTGTGGTATAGCTCTTAGTAAGGCGTAGAGCAGTAGCGGTCTTAACTTTTCCTGTTACAGAATCGACTCTGAACGCTGTTCATGGCACGGTTAGCGGTGAAAAAGAATAGCGATTGTTGATACGTTTCACACGGCGCACGATTCCATGGATAGTTTCATTCAAGATCGTGATGGAGGACATAGCTTACGATCATCGGCTTTGATCATGCCACTAGGCATTTGATTAGGACATTGCACAATGATCCGAACACTTTGTCGCATCTCTTCGATACGGATACAGTAACGATCATAGCGATCTCCTCTGGTACCTACTGGTACATCAAGATCCGATTGGTCATGAACATCGTAAGGTGCTGCTCTTCGCGAATCCCAACATACCCCAGGTTGGGATGGGTAGGCCCACCACTTCACTTTCACTTAGGCCCGGGCAATTCATCTTTCCTTACAATTGAAAGGGCTATATATATTTTATTGAGGTGAATACTCTTTTTTCACCAATGAATGAACTTGTTTCTTGTCAAATATACAAGTATACAACATTCACTGCATAACCATCACCTTTGAGCACACCTTCAAGTCCTGCTTCAACTCCTATGTAAAGGGCGACGCATCAACAATATGCTCTTGGACCTCCGAATCCTAGAAGCGCCAGCAATGCACCGCCAGCCTCGAGTTCAACACCAAGACCATCTGCACCTTCATCATTGCCAATGTCTGATTCGAGGTCCTCTACCGCTTCTCCCCTTCCTCTCCTCCATCGCTGCTTGAAGAAACCCCCTTCGACCTCCATGAAGTCCTCGAGCACTTTGCCTTTGGCAATGTTTGCAAGGTGGTGTTCAACAAGGACACACTGCAGATCAGTCACGACGATAAGTACAGAAAAGGCAGAAGATTTCACAATCCTAAAGATGTCGGAGATGACATGTTTAAGGATTAGATGTGCGAACAATGTTCATGAAACTAAGTTCATTAAGTCTATGTCAGGAATTAGTACTTACTGAAACATAAATTTCAAATAGTCAAGAGTGTGGAAGGACAGTTTTTGTCTGTCTTACTTACTCTAACAAGTTACGAGGTGAATGATTAACTGCTGGTCAGAAGAGAGGAAGTTTGTACCTAGCATTTGAAAATGAATCTTCCCACGTTGAAAACAAAAGTTTTAAATGAATCTGCCCACATTGTAAAAAAATCAAAAGTCTCTCCAGGTTATATATCAACAAATTCATATAGATATAAGCATATGAGTAGTGAGTACACATAAATAATCTCGGTAAGAAAATGGAAGACTTTATAGGTTATAGTTTCTTCTGATTTTTCATGAGAAGTGGAAAAATATCAGGATGATAATGTATATCTAGTTGATTTTTTTCTAAGGTTTGTCAGTACAATGGATTCCAGAAACAGTGCCGAATATGACACAAATACCACTTTGTTTGTGTTGCCAAGGAGGTCAATGTAATTAACTTATTCTTCAAAGTAAAATTTTGCCGGACCACTACCCAGGAGGTCGAAGAGGATGTCGTTGCTCTGGTCGCCCTCGAGTAGGAGTTGAAGTGGTCTTGCTCAATGGTGATGACAAAAAAAAAACAGTATTTATCTCAATTAAATCATAGTCCTTTCAATTTTGGAGTTAAGGATAGAATTGTCCTTGTAATGTTTATTTAACAGAACTTTTAACAGAGAGTTCAAATGGGACTAAGCTACATGACTTTTTAACTGTTTTAGGTGGGGGCAACTTTTAACTGTTTTACGTGACGAACATTCACATTCTCTATCAATTTTTTCCCTTTTCATTCATTTTTTTAGTGGAAACAAAACCAAGTTACATGCCCTTTCTCGTGGAATTATTTCTAACCATGATGTCTGCATTCTGACTCTTAAATTGCAGGTAATATTATTGTTTAGTATAGAAAAAAAACTAAAGCATAATAGCAACTAAGTTAAAGTTTCATGTCGGCTAGGTTAAAACAACATCTCCGAAGAGATATTGTGTGCGACCAAACACTGGCGTCATCTTACCAAGGTCGACATGTGATTTTACAGGTACATTCTTATTAGTATCCATTTGTATGGTTGTTTCTTGTATACTAGGATGAACAATGAAGTTGTTATTTTATTATAGGGGATTTAATTGATGTAAGTTATTTAGTTGTCCTCTTTTGACTGCCACTGCCTCCTTTACCCTTTTTGTCTTGAAAACTCTTGCCTCGTTAGTTTCGCCTTTTGGTTCTTTCAAACTTGTGCCCAACTAACTGCGGCCCAAGACCATTTTCCAAGTTCTTATTAGTGTTTACATTTCCACTTGATTTCTTTTTACCCCAGAAGCTAAGAAGGCATGAGCCTTAGACTACAGAACAGTTGAGTTGTTAGGCAGGGCACTTGGAAGACAATGACTTCAACTGATGGAAGTTGCCTCCTTTACTTGCTAGTCCATTATAAATTGCCTAGGTTTAGAGTTGTTGTATTTTAAAACCCTTTTTCCAATTAACCTACTTGATGCACCGACTCAATGTGAAATCAGGAATCTATCTAATGTGGATCGAGTTTTGAAGAATTTATCAGAAGGGGGACTGAGTCAGTACAAAGACTGTTTTACAGTTAAGAAGTGTGGAGGGTTGACCGGAGCTGGTATAATTGATACTAAAGTTACCAAAGTGCATTATATAATTGGATATAAAAGTTTTATCAAGAAACGAAGGCTACTGTTTAAAAAAATATATCAGTTTCGAGAAAGACAATTGCTTTTTTGGTGCCAAACCGGTTTTCTTACCCTTTTAAATTATACATATTTCATTAATAACATGAGTTATAACAGTAAAAATGCAAACCTAATTTGAAGAAAGTGGAACTTGTTCTCCTATTTTGACAAAACTATTGTTCTTAATTATTAGAATATATTAGATTCTGCAACGAGTTTTCTGGATTGGGCTATATGTACTTTCCATGGTTTCATTATTAACTTAAGGCTAGGAAATAAAAGATTATTAAGTGATATCTGCAGCTATTTTTTGTAAAATTATCAGACGTTCTCGCTTTTCAGAACATAATTTGTTTTGTCCCTTTTATGTCTATGTTTCTTGTTGGGCATTCAGATTTCATAATGTCCCTGATGTATTAAGCTTTAACATCTAACTTGCTTTGCTTTATGCCTTACGCTTTTATTGTTAATGTATCCAGTCACTATGCAAGCACAAAAGACAGCTCCACCAGATATGCAGTTGAAAGATAAGTTCCTAATTCAAAGTACAATTGCTCCACATGGAAGTGGAGATGAGAACATTGAACCTGCCCTGGTCAGTAAATAAAACTTTTATATGGGCTAATCATTAATGCCAATAGACCCCCTGCAGTATCTTTGTGTTAACTTACTATTCTTCTAGTTTCATTGTTGTAGATTGAACCCCTTGGGTTAAATTGTTTGTGACTCTTTACCTGGTTGAAATTTCGATAAATATTGCCCATGGGTGAAGTTAGCGAGTCTACCTTGGGGGTCTAAAAAAATAAACCAGCGGGTCTATTTGCAACAATGAAACTGCAGTGCAAGTAATCAAAACAACGATACTACAGGGGGTCTATTTGCAATTAACTCTAAAGCTAAACTTGAGGTGGTCCATTCACTTTGAATCCTTGCTCCGTGTTTTCCCCTTCTCTTTGCCCTTTCATAGTTCTCAAAAGCAAGTGGCAAGTATATCGGAGAAAACAAATTGAGGGTAGTCCTTGTTAGTCCACCTCATTCTCCAGGTCTGCAACCAGTGAACGGAGCATTGAAGCAGGAACCAACTAATGAAACTTCCGTTGTTGAAGAAGCTCCCATTGTGAAAGAAACTCCGATAGCTTCTATTCTTAAAGAAACTCCTATAGCTCCCATCGGGAAAGAAACTCCTATAACTCCTGGGAAAGAAACCCCTGTTGCTCCTGTTGTGAAAGAAATTCCTATATCTCCTGTTGAGAAAGAAACTGGTATAGCTCCTGTTGTGAAAGAAACTCAAATGGCTCCTATGGTGAAAGGCACTCCTATACTTCCTGTTGTGGAAGAAGCTGCTATAGCCCCTGTTGAGAAAGAAACTCCTACGTCAAAAGATTGCACACCATTGAATGGAGTCCATGATATTCCCTCATCTCAAGTAAGAGTTATCATTTCATACATGGAATACCGTATTAATATCTGCAGTTTTAGGGTTATAACATCTGCACCTTATACCTTTTTGCATATGATCTACTTAACATGAGAACACATACCTATTGAGGTGTTCGGCGCTTGGGCTTCTTGTATACATTCTGTTAATAAATGGTGCTCTATCCATCTGTTGTGGATTTATTGGCATCTCATTTAGTTTTCCTTTTGCTGAATGTATATCTTTACTCCTGTCCAGGTGAGGGATCTTGAGGATTTAAAACTGAAGGTCAGCAATCTCGAATCAAAACTTTTTGAGGTTAGCCATGCTCCCAACTTATCGCATGAATATGGCCTGGCTTGTTGTTGTTACCTTGTATAATTAATTGATGGACATCTGTGACCAAGGCTGTTACCTATGAGGTCTCTCCAACCTAGTTGCAGTTGTGTATGGGAATTGTTTGAAAGAAAATCTGCCAATTATTTCATAATATTTATATTCTTAGAGACGGTTTCATGTACGTTTACATATGTAACAGAAGTTGAATCTTTTGTAGGCTGATAAGACCATTGTTACACTGAGGAAAGAAAAGAGCTTTGCAATACAAGAAAGAGATGGGCTAAAGGAGGAATTGGTGAGTGATTGACGTCTGAGCTTCACTTTTCTAATGATCATGCCAGCCAATTTAGTATTTCAGAGACGAGTTAGTAGTTTTTAAACTTTTTATTGTGGATTTACTGCCATAGTTTGTTCCTTTTCGTTTTATTGCCATCTCTTTTGATAAAACATTAAACTGGTGCTGGTCGTTTGATACTATGAATTCTGACTCCATTGGATATCTGTGATAGCATATAGTCTCTTTCACTCTGAGAACCAAATCCAAACATATTGTTCTCGGACATCTCCATTGATATTGTTTCTTATGAAATATATGACATATGATATACCCAGACCCATGTTGGTTACTTCATCTGACCAAACATCGGTGTGTCTGATACAACAGATATAATATACATCTCCACTATTTCCAACAGATACAACAGATATAATATACATCTCCACTATTTCCAACACGGAAAAGTCTATAACCATTTTTCACCTTACGGGCATGTATAAGCTGAAGTATGTAACGTCATTTTAGACAAACTTGATTGTTTTCTAAGTCATTATGTATACATATGTATACATATATATACATATATACATATATATGTGTATATACATATATATGTATATATATACATATATGTATTATCCCACCAGCCTTTTAAAATGCTAGTAAACCCACAAGTAATGTAGGAAGCTATAAGCTTATCGGGATTACCATTTTGTCTACAAATTGTAGAATACATCAACATACGATGCATAGTGGAGTATATTTGATTGTCAGATAATCCATCAATATTCCATTCATAAATATTTCTACCGTTATAGTTGGCTTGTATGTATGTATCATTTTCTTCAAATAATACATCAGCAGGAGTAGGCTGTTTATAATAATAACGCTCTAATTGTTTAGGTCGTGGTGTAATTTTATTTACAGTAGAAAATTAATTTTCTACATCTAATATCTGACTTTGTTTTATTAAGATATTATCATCGTTAGATGTTTCAGTGTCAGTATGAATTACTGACGAGGTGGATGGATCACCATCAATTGTGTGTAATTTAGAGGAACCAAGCTTTTTTGTTAAAGCTTCAATAACTTCCGAAGTCACTTTATCACCTGTATTGAATCCAGATATATCTAGAGGTGGCTTAATAGTGGTTTTTTCTGTATGTTTAATAGGAGCCTTAAATTTCTCTAACTCTATTAACGAAGGAATAATATTGTTTAATTTTTGAACAAGTTTTTCAATTATATCTTCAATTCTAGTAAGTTGTTGACCTACTATTTGAAGATAAATATTTGTGCAATTACTTTGTTTAATTAGCTTATTAAGCTCTTTCAAAGTTTCATCACTGGATTCAGTAGTTTTTACAAAAGTTGTTGCTTCTAGTGTCGAAGTTGAAACTCCGGTAAGTTTTAGTGGTTCAGTTGGAGGATAAAGAGATTGATTGATAAACCAGTACTTGATTTTCATTGTTCACAATATTCTTCAAGTACTCCAATTCTCTTTTCTTCCTCTTGAATATAAAATTTTAAGAACCAAAGAACGAAGAACTTTATCTTCTGATCTTTATCAAGGGTTTTATAATAATTTGATTTAAACATTTGTTATTCTCTATTAGAGAAACTCCTAAAAACCATTCTCTAAATGATTCATGGTTTTTACACCGGAATTCTTTATTAAGATATCCTCGTAATTTACTGTTAGATGAAAAATCCATAAACTAGTTTTTACATTTGAAAGCTCCTTTCAGAGCTTGTGGGAGAAAACTTTTCTTTCTCTTTATAGATTGGATGAGGTATATTGTTTTGAGATATATTAATCCCTCTTACCTCGTTGGTTCTTTGAGAATCGGATCAAGAAATGGATCATCTAGATGAACTTGTAACGTCTGATAATCTAATTGTTCTAGAAGGGTCAAATACTATTTCGACTTCTCCGTCAGCCGTTTGGGTAATTTGATCAATTTCTTGATTAACTATAGGCTGGGGTTTAATAGCTTCGGGTAGAACCCAACTGTTAGAAAAGTTTACTTCAGTCCATTTAATTTGTCTATTTACTACAATATTGGAAGAAAATAAATTAGTCTCTACTAAGACTGTCTTTTCAGGTTTTGTATGCACTTTAGCTTTAGATGCAAATGTGCTTAAGGCTTTATAATGAATACGATATATAATCGCGATTGTTTCTTATCCTGGTAAAAACTCTGTAGGATCTGAAATAGATACACTAGAACACTAGAGGGGGGGTGCTTGGTGTTCTTTTAAAATTATTGCAAAGTAGATAATAAATTGCAAAGAAAAATGGCAATCTCAGAAATTTGCAAACACAAACACAAGGATTTTATACTGGTTCCACCAATCCGGTGTACATCCAGTCCCCAAGCAAATCCCGCTTGAGAGTTTCCACTATGATTTTGAATAAACTTACAAAATCAAACGCAAACCTGACCAAGTTGCAAGTCCCTGCAAATTGCAACACCAATTGACAAACTCCTTGCCAATTTGAACCCCAATCTCTAAGCCAAGAGATTAACCCTCTCACACCGAGAGAAAACTTGTAGGAATAACACAATGATCCTATAAGCCTTGAATGTGTAGTGAAGTGCAGTAGTGGCTTAGGATTCTTTTGATCTCTGTAAAATTGCCTAATTGATTTGTTTTTGATGAAAGTATATAGGCAATTTCAGAAACTCTCCTTTTTCAGAAAATCAGAATGTTTTTCACTTGAAAAATTGCACAAAGATCAAAGCTTATGGGTATGTATATCTGTGCAATTTTTCTGAACAAATAATCTATATATAGCCCTTGAAAAGATAAGTTTTTAAAGTTTAAAAACGTTTAAAAACGGCTAAAAACTGTCAGAAATTCAAATTCTAAAAACTGGAAAACTGTCACTTGTAGTCGACTACTTTAGTCATTAGTCGACTATACTGAGTTCAAACAGACTCTGTGTTTTCAGAAAGTGTTCTCAGTAGTCGACTATAATGCTCATTGGTCGACTACACTGAAATTTGACAGAAACTTGAAAACTGATATTTTCCTTCAGTAGTCGACTACTGTAGTCATTAGTCGACTACACTGTAAAAAGACAGAAACTTATAAATTGGAATTTGAGTTCAGTAGTCGACTATAATGTTCATTAGTCGACTATACTGTAAAAATACAGAAACTTATGTTTCTGTCAAACACCTCAGTAGTCGACTATAATCTCTATTAGTCGACTATACTGTAAATTGACAGAAATATGTATTTGAGTTCTATACATGAGTAGTCGACTACTATTCTACTTAGTCGACTACTAAGGTCAAAAATTCAGTAAAAAGAAGTTTTTATAATTAAGTTTTAACTACTATTCTAATGGTTAACATAGGGGATTTCTATAGTTAACCAACACACTAAGCCTGTGTTAGTGTGTTCTAAAATTGTGTGTGTGTGCGTGTGTGTGATCAAGGCTTGTACAAATATTCTAAGTAAAGAAAAAATCAAATACATTATCTTTTGTTCTTCATTTTCTTCACTTCAAAATGCCTTGATATCCACCTGCACTTGTACAGATTCTGATATTGAAATCTGCATATGAAAGTTAGTGCACACACAATATAAATTGTTATCATCAAAACACTATCATGGAGATATGATATTCAACAAACTCATACCCATGAGTTTTAATATTAAGACTTATAGCATCTAAAATATTAGAACCTGTTAGAGATAAACTCAAATTTGGGTATACATTAAAGTATACAGGACCATTACATAAACTAGTTTTTATGATGCCCATTAAAGATTGTGCCCAGTTTAAGCACCTTGCATCACGTAAACAAGTGAGTAATGATGCATTTAGTCATTGTAAGGTTAATGGTCTAAATGCTACATGAATTCATCCAATATAGATATATTTATATCGATCTATATAGGGTTCGATATCTTTAAAATTAAGCAAATTAATAGTTTGCTCATTTTGATCAACTGTCGTGGTTCTCTCTAAAGTCTTTATTGCTATTAAGGACTTATAACCAAAGAACCCAATTTTATAGATGTCTCTATTAGGGACATCTGGAATGGACCACTTGTTAAGTGAGTCCAGTTCAGACGGATATTCCGTCAATTGAGCATTTTTAATTTTCTTGCTCTTGTTATAAGTCTTCTTAGAAGACGAGGCAGAGACTAACTCTGTCATTTGAAGTTTATTACGGATTGAATTATGTAAAGATTAATAAGTAATGATGTATAATTAAAAATTTTCTTTTTTTTTAGGAATAAAACAAATCTTATAATAGCACGTATGTCAACGATTTACATAACCCTTCATGTCATCACGGCTTTAACGGGAAACATTACACTACGCGACTTTAGTGACGTCCTGCTATCATGCCTTTTATTTTATTAACAAACATAAAAACATATTTCAATTATAAATTCCTACTTATCTGTTTTACATAACTATATTCACAAGAATAATTTAGCCAATCATGACTCTGATACCCGTTTTGAACAGGAATTTAAAAGACAGAAAATTAAAATAATGATAGATAACTTATTAGTGTGAGGCCAGCTATTTCTAACGAATTTTCTTGTTCCAGTTTATTTCATATGCTATATGTTACAGTAGCCTTAGGTCGGCTAACCTTTACAAGAGGAAGAAGAATATCGTATCTGAGATTCTGAGGTGTCACCATCTCCATCCTTTCTACACAATATTCTGTAGAGAGCCATTTATAAGAATTTTTTTCTCCCATGAAACTGTCATAGGATACATCCCCCCTCTTTTTTTTTTTCTTTTTTTTTGTTAAAGAAACCCTGTCTGTTGGATATCTGAACTGAGTTTTAGTTTATGCTCAAATTTTAGCTTTTCCATCAAAATTTAAATATTTGACCTTTCTAATTTCAGGCTCTGATGAGAAGGAGATATGCTGCCAAGGTTCGGGTGGGCTTCCCCTTCTTGTATGTAGTTTTCATGGCTCTTGTTGGTGCATCACTTGGATACCTTCTGCACCAGTGACGAGGAAAGATTTATCTTCACGGCCCAGCTGTAGATTAGGAGAGATTATAAGCACTGGAAATTTTAGTTAGTGTTTATTATTGACAGTATCATACTAGAATAAAGCAGTGTTTCTTTGTGAAGGATCATAATTTTCTTCTGTGTATAGAGGAACTATTCAAGGACTCGCTTTATCAAACCGTGGGCTTCGATTCCTTTCCTTATGGATCTTTTTGATCGTTGTACATAAATTTTGAGGGGAGGAGAGATGTTTGTGTGACATCTCTGTATGTTACCTAATGCTCGCGTGTTTCTTGTATTTGATGTTTCAACTCAAATTGCTGCGGGGGTCATTTGCTTCATTCCATATGTAATTGCAATGCACGTGCCGACTGCATGCAATTGTTATCACATGCAACTGTACGTAGTCGAAAATTACTCGATTTAAATTAAAATTTCGTGTTTATAATTGTGTGTTGCAATTATTTGTTTTGGAATATTAGGTTCTTTTGGACTTTTTGGGGATCGACTGCAATTCGAGTTGCAACTTCCCCTTTATTCAAATTGACTCAGATTGCAGTTGAAGATTTTTTTTTTCTTTTCTGCAACTGCTATTGCATACTATGATATATCTCTTTGATTCATAGCATCAGGAATGCCGTCAGTTGTCGGTTTAGATTGTACCACAACGTAGGAGGATGTTGACATCGACGATTTATTTTTGGATTCTTTGGTTTGTTTTATAGCTTATAACGTATCAATTTGTTGAGCAACAGCTCATCAGACAAAGATGTGTCTTGCTCGCTTTTGTTCGTGCTCTGCACATTTCTAATCTGTTGAAGCATCTAAATAGATTATTGTTGTATGTTTCACTCTAAAGCTATAACGCCTCGTTTGGTTATGCGGGAAGAGGAGTGAGAATGGAATGTAATTCTAAATTATCGTTCATGTTTACCAAACATGATGGCTTTTTAGATGCTAGAAATGTCATTCTCATTTCTCATCAATTCTCACTTAATGTCGAAATTGCTATCCGTAATGAGTTATCAAGGAATTGAGATTCTCACTTTAAGTGAGAATAAAAATAATAAAATAAAGTCTAGATATACCTTTCTTAAAGATACTCCAACTTAATTTTCTAATCGCACAAAAAAATGAGAATGAGAAAATGCATTTCATTCCCACATTAATTTCATTCTATTCCTATCTTCATTCTATTCTCACTTGACTTCATTCCCGCGTACCAATGAGACGTAAATGTTATGATCGTTTCATATTCATTCAGCTCAATGTGTGAGTTTGATCAAATAAAGACATGAGATGAGGTTTAGTCTCACATGGAAACAGGTCAAAGATCAAATGTCTGAGTCAATTTGAATTCTAGCAGATTAGTGGACGATGGCTGTGATTTGTTATCCTCTTGTGTGATACCTGCAACCTAAACTTTCATCCAAATACTAAAATTCTTAACATTTTTCTACAAATTAAAATCTAATGTTTTTTTTCTGAGAAAAGGGTGGGTGAGATACTCGTGCGATCCATTCTCCCTTTAATCTCTCTCCTCCTATTTTTCCAAAGTTCACACTTTCTACATAACAAAAGGAGAGGGCGAGCTTTAAACTGAACTCTCCAGTTGTTTCTTGACAAATAGACCGCCTGAGAGGTCTATTTGCAAAAATAAATTTAGAGTAGTAAGTTCAAAACAACAATGCTGCAAGGGGTTCATTTGTAATTGACCGCATTACCGATTTTAAATCAGTTCAATCTACACAACATACGAATAAGGGTGCAATGAGAATATTGTATTAATATAATTTATTAACTTCAAAATATGTGTGCGTGCACGTATCACATTCTCCTTTGATATATGATTTTCTTTAGAGGACATGCCCATCGGTTTCGAATTCTTTATATATATAATTGACTGTAAAAAAAGCACAATTTATTACCTAGATCAATGAAATATTTTTTTTTTACGAGTCTCCTAGCTAAAAGAACGTCTTAGATGAATATGGGATCCATTGATGAAAAAAGAAATTTTACAAATCGCATAATAGATTTCTCCATTGTTAAGAACATGGGGATTTCTAGCCTCCTCTGTTGTATTCTTTTTTCTTTCTTTTTCTTTTTTTTTTTAAAGAAACATCCAGCATTAAGGAGTGGACACTTTGCTTCCTCTTCTCCATGTTTGGCTGGGATTATGACATTTTCTCGTCACAAATTAATTGTCTAAATAATCTAATTAATTGCCCAAAAAGGTGATGGTGAAGGACAACAGCTGAAGCCTAGATTAATTTTCATGTTTGCTATATCCACTCCCAAACAGTAATTTTGGGAGTTGGATTGCCGAAAATGCCCTTTTGATGGCGAGGTTCACCTTAGAACAAACGCGAGGTTCGTTAAAATTGAGCTTGACGCTCACCTGAGTTGAACGCACAAATTTTCATGCTGCACATCCATGATTGATCTATGTCATTTGATTGTATTGGTATATGTGACCATTGATGGGTCGAGTCATGATAAATGTGACGAAGGCCGTTTTGATCCTATATTGATATAGTCAATGGACGAGATTGTTCGGAAATACCTTTTCAGTGATAGCAATTTTTGAGCTCATAAGGTTATACACAATTTAAGGAATCATATGGTGCCCAAGTGGGAGATTGTTGGATTTAATCTAATAAATCTAATTTGTGGGCACATATGATTAATCAATGTGTATTGCTATCTTTCAGGATAACCCACTAAAGTGATCAATTAAGTTGGGTTAATGGGTATTTAAATATAATCATGGGGTTATATGTGCAGATACCAGGTTGTAATTGTAATTTATTGAGGGGCTAAATTACAAAAGTACAACATCTATAAATAAGGGGTTATGGTCCCTAACCTAGGGTTACATTCTCTAATTCTCTTCACCCCCATCTAGAAAGAGAAATTCGGATTTAGAGGAACCCTAAGGTTAGAAGATCATCAAAAACCCAACTCAAGATTTCTTCTATGGATTCAGGTATAAGCTTCCGCTCATTTATGATTCTTGATAATCTCTTTGAATTAATCATGGCTATATGATTTTAGATCTCAAGTTTTGGTTTAGATCTAACATAATTATGATCTAGTAAGCACATTGATTGCGGAACCTCGTTAAATCTCTGCTTTCCTTTACTTTTCGTCATCGATTTGTGGTTAGGTTCTCGGCGGTTGCTAACATTATGTGCCTTAAATTAAGATCTAGTAAGGCATTTTTCATGATATTATGGTTGCAATTCTGGCAACTGTTTCCTTGTGTTTGTTGCCTTTTCTGCACAGTTTCAAGTTAAACCTGCTGAGTTGTATAGTGTTTAGAGTTAAACCAAAGTGTAAAGTTTTCATTGGAGGGAACTGAATTTTAAAACTAAATAATGATTCCCACAACTAATTGCTATCTAATAGGAGCAGATATCTGGACGTGCGTCAATCAATTGTACATTTGAAATTATTATGGTCTTAGATTTATGTAGGGGTGTCCAAAAAGCCCGGAGCCCGGACCCGGCCTGGGCCCGGCCCGGTCGTGCCCGGGCCCGGGCCCTGCCGAAAATGCCCTTTTGATGTTGAGGGTGTTTCTGGAATGGACTTGGCCTGTTTTGATTTGGGAGAAGGGCAATTTAGTCCTCACACACCCCCAAAATTACTGTTTGGGAGTATGAATAGTTGGACCCATTAATTTTGGACCGTACGTGTTGGAAATCACCAGTCATTTTGGGGTGCTTTGTCTTATTTAGTGGTCCGCAACCTTAGTGCATTGTCCTCTTATATGTCCCTACTTTGTTTATGGTGGAGAAATCAATGTACGGTTCTCATTAGTTCAACGTAATATACACTAGAGTGATGATTTTCAGATTATTGATATGTAGACTATAAATAATCTAAGACAAGTGTTGGGGAATTTTAGTCTCCTCGCGTACTACGATCTCCACAATTCGGAAGCTAACCCACAATAAACAAGATAGAAAATAACCACAATTAAGAAGAAAGAACACCGAGATTTACATGGTTCAGTACGACCAACTTCAACCTACATCCAGGAAATTCACTATGTATCAGGGAGAACTACAAAAGGAACGACTTAACTCTCGTCTCTCAATCTCTCAACCTCACATACATAATTAACTCTCATGTTCTCTCCAAAACCCACTGCTTACAATCTTTTGAACGGATAAAGACTGCAAAACTCTCTCCCAATATTGTAATCTTTTGCATGGATAAAGACCACGAAACCCTCGCCTCTTGCACAATATTCTTGAATCAGCCTACGCCCTCTGCTAACTCTAGATTAAAAGAATATTGGCTTTCCCCTTCTCCTTGGTTTTTCCTCCAACAATAGAAGAATATATATAGGGAAATCAAAACCCTATCTCTAGCCTAATTTTATAATTAGAATAGCATTTAAACTCCTAGTCATGATGAGACTCAATCTCCTAATCATGAAAGATCTCTAACCCTTATCTAATTCTCATGAAGTTATATAAAGAATCAAAAACACATCCCAACATTCTCCACCTTGGATTTGATTCCCAAACTTCCTTGAAGATATATCATTATCGTCTTGAAACTTTGCCTCACCCGCACTCCTAATCAGAACACATGTATTCCAACTGGATGCCCCTATGACCCTCACTTTCATCGCCTCCATCTCTCTTGCGTGCACCAAGAGATTTTCGTCATCTCTAACATTAGAAGCAAATCAATCATGCTTCTCCTCCCAACTTGAGCCTGACAATAGCCTCCCCCTGCTTGTTGTCCTTGTGCTCCACTTGCATCGCTCGTCTCAAACTATATCGGTGTACCTTTCTTACTCCACACTACGAGCCGAATACCTCTATCTCCTCCATCACTTGGTTTGGACCAAATATGAGCACTCATCGTCTTCAGGTCTAATGCCACAATCTTCATTAGCATGTGTATCACTCAGTCGTGCCTGCTTGCAAGCTCCACCTAATCTGGCACTGTCCTCCTAGAGTCTATAGACCAACCAACTCTTGCTCCCATGATTATTTTGAATAATTATATGTTGACAACTCTACTGCTAGAATCACGTCTAATTCTCTACACCAGTCTCATTCGTCGCATACTTGTTTTTCCTATCTGCCATCAGATTTGTCTCGCCATCACTATTAGAACTTTTCTACACTTTCTGACTAATCTGAGCATAATTTGAAAAATCAGACCTCCTATCACGTTCAGAGCCCTCCAAAACTTAAGAATCAACTCCTGGATCATCGAAATCCGCCTCCAAACTCTCGATCAGAAGACAAATTAATCTACACCGTCGGATTTAATTTAATAATTTTTTAACCAAACCCTCACCCAAACAGTGTTCTCGTTGCTATAGTGTTCCCGCCACTACAATACCTCCTTTTTTTTTCTTTTTCTTCATATTGATTCTTATAACACCGCCGATCTTCACTTTTGTACGACGTCTATATATCTTGCGAACTCGCTCCCGGATCCATCATCATGGTCCTGATACCACTTGTTGGGGAATTTTAGTCTCCCCGCATACTACGATCTCCGCAACTCGAAAGTCAACCCATAACCAACAAGATAGAAAACAATCGCAATCACACCGAGATTTACGTGGTTTAGTCGACCAACTTCGACTTACATTCACGGGGCAACAATACGAGAAATCCACTATGTACGAGGGAGAACTACAAGATAAACCATTCAACTCTTTTCTCTCAATCTCTTAATCTCACATACATAATCAACTCTCATGTTCCCTCCAAAAACCATTGCTTACAATCGTTTGAACGTATAAAGACTGCAAAACCCCTCTCCCAATATTGTAATCTTTTGCATAGATAAAGACCATGAAACCCTCGCATCTTGCACAATATTCTTGAATCAGCCTACACCCTCTGCTAACCTTAGATTACAAGAATATTGGCTCTCTCACTTCTCCTTGGTTTTTCCTCCAATAATAGAAGAATATATATAGGGAAACAAAAACCATATCTCTAACCTAACTTTCTAATTAGAATAACATTCAAACTCCTAGTCATGATGAGACTCAATCTCCTAATCATGAAAGATCTCTAACCCTATCTAATTCTCTTGAAGTTATATAAATAATCAAAGACACATCCCAAGCAAATTCTAACTTTATTTCTGTTCCGATGTCACATGTATTTTATCTTCACATGTTTCCGTTAAGTAGAAATACTTTAGATAATAGGGAGGGGGGGAAAAAACAACAACATGCTCCCCGGGTTTTTTTGTTGTGCTTTTTTACTTTTACATTGTTTATTGGTGAGGATTAATCTAAATTTTAATTAAGGGACGCGCGTGTCATTCACGTTCTAAAAACTATTTCCCACCCACATAATCAATCCCTTGGCTCATGATCAAGGTGTAGTTTGAAGTGTAAGTACAATTTATTATCTAGATTATTTTTCCTTTTTTTTAAAGAAAGGTCCAGTAATTAAAGAGTGGACACTTTGCCTCCTCCCCCCTCCACTTTTGGCTGGGATTATGACATTTAATTTATCGCCACCAAGCGTCCAAATAAATCCAATTGACTGCCCAAAAAGGTGATAGTTAAGGTACAACAACTAACGCTATAGCTTGGATTAATTTTTTGACCGTATTGGAAATTAATTAATCACCAGTCAATTGATTTAGACGTTTGGCGCACTGTGTCGTCTGACGTGTCCCTACTTTGTTTATGCATGATGGGGAAATTTTGCGTGATCATCCAACTAGCTAGTTCTATTAATTGATGATGATATTGAGACCGTTGGTATATATCATGTAGACTATAATTAAGCAAACAAAGGACACGGTGTTAATTAGCATGAGTAATCATTAATCAGTCCCCACTGACCAATCAAGTGCTGCGTTTCCCTCAACGTGTGCATTTACGTGTCGCTCGCTCGAGCTCGAGGATTAGGACTCTCAAGCTATCTCACTTCTCTCTCAAAGAGGCTCTCTAACTCTCTTTATTAAATGTTCTAGAGGATTCCACACGCTTCTAGAGAATTCTACACTTCTCTGGAGTTCTCGCCCTCATAGTACATGGCTCAGGTTAGTTGGAGAAATCACGGTCTATTATCTTGGCCAAACCAAGTTTCAAACTATAGAGTAAGATATCTTAGCTTTACAAGCAAGTTCTAACTTAATTTTGTATTCAAATTGTCACATGTCTTGATCACGTGTTCCCATAAAAAGTTGAAACACTTTAGAAGCAGAGAAAACTAACATGCTTTTGTCCTCTGCATAGTTTAATGGTGTGGATAAGAGAGATTAGCTAGTTAATTAAGGGATTAGATTAGATTCAGTGTTGATCACGATCTAAACCTATTTTATTCCAGACCAATCCTTTCACATCGCAAGCCATGCAACTGAACTCGTGGCCTTTCATATCGCAAGCTTACATAAGCTAATATTAATAACCAAAATATCTCAATTGCCTACAACTGCAGTTACACCGAACCAAACGACACCTGACCAAAATAAGTTGATCTATGCCTGGCCCACACTAATCAAGCGGTAGACGACACCTCATACTACAGTAATGCTTACAATATCATTTACTGTAGCGTTATTATTGTGATAATAAGAGGCAGGATGTTGTAGCATTTTTTATGAAAAATTACATTTTAAAAAGCACGGTAGCAGAGCGGGATACTGTAGCAAATCCAAAAAAATCAAAAAAATATTATAGCATTTAAAATCGGGATTACTGTAGTCAAAAAAGATATGTTATTAATAATAACCAAAATATCTCAATTGCCTACGACTACAGTTACACCGAACCAAACGACACATGGTCAACATAAGCTGATCTACGCCCGGCCCACACTAACCAAGCTGTAGACGACACCTCTGACGGGGACGGGTGCGGATTAGAGTCACGTGGTTGGACCCAAGTTTGGAATAAGCCCAAAATATCAGGCCCTACTCTGATAAAACGAAGGCGAGTTTTACCACCACAACTTCGTGCGAGTCGGGTACGACACGCTGCTCCAAAGCAACCCGACGGTCAAACCCCCCCCCCCCCCCACCTCGCTTGCTGTTCGCTGTTCGCCCATTCCCGCACCTGATCTCGAGGAGCCCCCAAAACTGGGTTCGCGCGGATCAATGCGCGCACCAAATGGGGTGACGCAAAAAAAAAAAAAAAAAAACCCTGCAGGCTCCGGAATCATGAGACAAATGATAGGCTAATCACGAGTAGACGTGCTGTTGTCTTAATAATGCGATGAATCTTAAGTAATACCGTGACACCTAAGCGATGCCTCTTCATTAGTCAGGTACGCCACCTTGAAACAGCGACATGTCCCCTGTACGCCACACAAAATAAAAAAATAAAAAATAGTTTCTTTGATTGCCGTATTAAGGGTCTGTTTGTTTGCTCGAAAGTAATTATAATTACCAAGCTATAACGATATTATAGCTTCTACTTTCAGGGCCGTCTCAAGCATTTTTGAGGTTGTAGGCAGAGAAAGATATTTAGGGCCTTAATAGTTTTTTAAAAATTAAATATTAGTTTTTTAAAAAAATAGATTTTATATAAAATTTGATTTTCTGGCTTTTTGAGATGCAAAGTTACTAATTAAATTTTTATATTCAAGCTTTGATAATAAATTCTTTTTAATTGATAAAATTGCCAAATCATTAAAATTTTTTTGAGACATTGTTGTGAAATTGCCAAATTATATTAGTTTTTCTTTTTCTTTTTACCGTTACAATCTAATTAATTATAGAAATGAAATATAAAAACTTATGATTAAACTTTATTAGTGTTCTTTTTCATAGATAAAGATAATTATGGATAATTATAGCAATAAATGATCAATTAAAGATAATTTAGAATCCTAACAATAGACCCTGTTTACTTTATTTGTTTGGGCAAATAGCGAACTGATGTGGCAACCAAAAATCTAAGATGACATCCTCTAGATAATTCCCACCAAAATGCTTCATTTTGGGTAGTATTATTTTAGTTGGAAGGTCTAGTTGGACCGTAAATTTTTGTAATATTGTAGATGTCACATGGTTTACCAAAAAAAATCCAAGCATCCCCTGGTGATGCCCTAAAATATTCTTATTACTAGATGAATTGCGTTCATAATTCATAGATATTAATGCATTGGATCATGATAATTCAATTTATCCAGATATAAATTACTAGATAACAGTGAAAAGTCATTTATTCCAAGATAACATGCCGAAATATATATATAAAAGCACTTTTTTAGATTCAATATTCATGAGATCAATCATGAAACAAAATAATATTTTGTTATATATTTTTTTAGAATTTCAATTAAGATCCGTGACCGTCGTAAAAGCAAATTATCTGTCTCTCCTAAATGACATCAGATTCAACGGCCCTTGCTGCGCAACCCGTGCAAAGTTTCAGGCGACAGCGATCAGAAACTAATAAATAAAAACAATTTTAAAACAGCCGCCCCCCGCGCCCTGCCAAATTCCCATCCGCTGCTACCCAAAACACCGAACACCGAAAGAACAAACCGTAAAACGCCACGTGTCTCCCGGCTCTCTGAGTTCCACGGGGCCACGATAAAGCCTGGCGACGAGATTCTACAGGAGATTTTTCCTCCGAAAAAATAAAATAGAAAGAAGCAGCTATTTTTTTTAATTTGATTTCATGTGATAAGCTTCGCTTTAACAATCAGCAGCTCGCGATCTCGATCTTATCATATTTCTCCTCCTCCGCTCGCAACTTCCCCCCATTTTTTTTGGCCGGAAAAAAAGGTGGAATCTTGCCATGGGACTCGATCTCGGGGCTCACTTGGTTCGTCTAGGGATCGTGTCGTCGACGTCGGACTACGCGTCGGTTGTCTCGATCAACCTCTTCGTCGCTCTCCTATGCGCTTGCATCGTGATCGGGCATTTGCTGGAGGAGAATCGATGGATGAACGAGTCAATTACCGCTCTGATCATTGTGAGTTTTGAGAAATTTCCATCCGTGTGATTTAAATTTTGTATGGAAAATGTAATGAAGTTAGAATTTTGGGGGAATTTGCTTATTTATTTATTTTAATGTAGGGTTTGTGCGCTGGTGTGGTGATTTTGCTTACTACAAAGGGGAAGAGCTCTCATATTCTGGTGTTCAGTGAGGACCTCTTCTTTACTTATCTGCTGCCGCCAATTATATTTAATGCCGGGTAAATTTTTTGGACTCAAGAAAGTTTTTTTTCCGGTTAAGTTTGATGGGTTTTGTTGGATTCGTACGTATTTATTCTCGTGCTTAATTAATTTGAGAGAGGTATGAGTAATGGCCAATGGGTAAGGTTGGGGCCTTAATTTTCAGTGGTTGCTAGCATTTATTTCTTTAGAATAGAAGAATTTCAGAGTTTGGATAATCATAACTCTCAACCCTCTGCATAGCTGCAGAGTTTTTGTACAGTGGAAAATATTTAACATGGTAATTGGAGGAACCCTGGTTTAAATCCCATTTGCCATGAGTTAAAGGCATGTTACTTCTTAGAGTATAAAATCATTACCCTTGACCCATGCCATAATTTCAAAGTGTGGGTATAGTGGAAGAGACCTTTGTCTTGGTGTTAAAGCAACCCATGGCCAATTTCCACTAGCCATGAATTTAAAAACAGGCTGGAAAAGGATAGTGTTGGATGAGTCTAGGATCCAATTCAGACAAAGGATGCTCAGCTTATGTCCCCTTCACAACTTTAGAGTTTTGGTGTAATGCAAGAGACCTTCAACATCATCTAATTAGTTTGGCCGGTTGGTTTTATTGCAACATGAGCTTTGATTCTGATGTCAGATTTATGTGGGTAGTTATTGAAATAAAAATTGCCTGGCTTCACAGATCTAATTTGATGATTCTTTTGCTTTACTTTGAGGTGAAGTAAGTGTTCTAAATTGGTGCCGTGTTCGGATCTCCCAGTTAAATCTGCTCCTTCTAATTAGGACAATCAATCTACTTCGTAATAGTGAAATCTCGTTGTTTCCCACGCAGAAAAGTTATCACATGCAAATACATGAGATTTACGTGGTTTGACAATCACCTACGTCCATGGGAAGAGGTTTAAGTATTCTTTATATCATAGATTATACAAGTTTTGGCCTTTCTTTCGTTCCTCAAGAAACCCGCAAGAACCCTCTCCAATCCACCAAAAGATCATCACAAATCTTCGAGTTCTCTCTTTTCATCTTTTGTTACTTATCTACAACTTTTTTACAATATGCAACTCTCTTTTGGCTAGGGGTGGAAACAAATTGAATCTGAACGCATAGTGCCTTGTTCGAATTCGAATTCGGCTCAAATAGCACTATTCGTATTCGTGTTCAAATTCGACTCAAATAATATTTAGAATTCGAATTTGCTTCGTTTTGTACGTGTTTGGTAACTATTCGCGAACATTCGATTAGCAACTAATTCAAGTCAAAATCAAGAAAAATGAAAAATTTTAAGTTTTATCTTACAATTTGTTGAAAGGGTGGTAGGTTGGGGAGGTCGAGGACACGCCGGAGGGGGAATTTCTAGACTCGGAGGGGGCAGAGAGCGGTTGACGGCGGAAGAGATTGTCGGAGGCTAAGGGGGACAATGAGATTCGAGCGGAGAAGGAGACTGTTGACGACGGAAGAGATTGTCTAAGATCACAGTCATAACATCAGAAACATAACATTCTTGTCACCTCCGGACGTCGGCGAATATTCGTTTAACATCAGCTTCAAAACCCTAATCTCAACCTAAAACAAAATCTCACCACGATGTGGCGCTCAAATCAAGTGAGGAATCAGACAAAGGCATACCGAGACTACTATGGTAGCTTTTTCGCTTGAAGCTATGTGTTGGTCCACTCGCATCTCTTTCATAGTTATTGGCCCCGCATGGGAAAAGATGTGGCCCAGGAATAGGTGTTTACACCTCCGACTCGTCAACAGCATCTGGTGAGAGTTCTTCCCGGAAATCGTATGCCGGTGTGGCACCACTAGATGGGAAGAAGGTAGAACCTATTATGCCAGCTGTGCGACCGCCTTGTTATGCAGTTGGACCGAGGCAACTAGCAGATGGGGAAGGCTAGAAAGAGGGTTCCGCAAGAGAGGATAGCGGAAATCAGCATTTCGCATAATCACTGGATATTGTAGATAGACAATCAATAGATGATGACTCTGGTGTCTAGTTCTGTTAGGTTGATAATAGCACAGTCTCAGACGGTGCTGATAGGCGTCTAATATTATCTGGAATTTATGGAACATGATAGGCGGTGCACAGGCGTCTATCAGAACACTGATTGTGTATTTTATGAAATTTGTTTGCTTAGGATTCCCGTTGTGTTTTGTATTCGGGTTCACCCCTATAAATATGGGTCTTCCAGATTTAGGGTTAGAGAATAGAGCCAAAAGTAAGGGTGGAAGTGAACCAAATAATTAATAAATAGTTCAAGTATTATTCGTCTAGGGATTCGGTCAAATTCTTCGGCTGTTCATTTAATATTAAATGAATAATTTTTAGTATTCGGCTTATAAACGAATAGAATTTAACCAAAGATATATTTAATTCGATTGTTTATTAACTATTCGATAACCTTTTATATTTTAGTACTATTTGTTAAATTTATTGCAAATATCACTCATGACCCATCCAAACTTTTATTTACAAAATATCACCTCATATAAATAGCTAACTTATCTAGGGTTTCTCCTCATTTCAATTTCCGCCTCCAAATTTTAGGATCCCCCACCCCCCAAATCTCAAGGTGGACCTAGGGTTTCTCTCCTCCTCCAGCAAGTCGGCAACACTCATCTCCTCTGACTCTCTTTCCCCCTCGATGCCCTCCTCCTCGCCGATGTCCTCTTCCTCGCCGCTGTCCTTTTCCTCGCCAATCTCTTCCCATCACCGACAATCTCATCCTCTCGACGTTTTATCTTCTGGGCTAAAATCACCGACGATCTCATCCTCCCGACGTCGGCGAATACTCATTGTTTGTCTTCTGGGCTAAAATACAAGGCTAAATCCCAACATTGAGAATAAGAATAAGAATCACAACTACTTGTTTGGTGGCATTCTTTTAGTAGAGATGGTTTTTTGAGACTTATGGCTTAGCTTGCAGTTTCTTTTGAGGACTTTATTTATGTACTGTTGAGCTACATAAAGCTTCATCTGATGAGCAATCTTAAAGGAAGTTAAATTGTAGTGTTTATTGCAAAAGAGAAGTTTATTCAGCATGGAGATATTTGATCTGCTATTAGCCACTAAGGTTAGCAGTAAATAATCATTTAGAAAGAGTGAAAAGAAATCAGGTAAAATGGGAAGAGCTCGTATCTTTTATATGTTTATGCAATGTTTGTTGTTGGAATACATCATTTATGTTTTTACTCAAGACAATTTTTAAATGAAGCACTGTAATCTAATCATCTAATACTATTATAAAAGTGTGTTGCCATGTTAAAACATTTCTTCCAAAAATACCCTTCGAAATACATACATGCATACATCTCTAGCACATCCATACATGCATATATTAAGATATATATACATACTTAAATTTTCATAACCTCCCTATTTATTAGCATCAAATTTTCATTTAACCACCCACTAATAACATTCTCCCACTAAATCTTGACATTACACACTAATAATAAAAAACGTTATAACTATTCATCTTCCATAAATCACTATAAATTACTATTATAACATTTCCTCACTAAGTCTTGACATTACACACTATTAATGAAAAACGTTACAACTATTCATCTTCCATAAATCACTATAAATTACTATAGAATCTTATCAAATTTCTCTAACCAAAATTCTAATTTTTAATCAAAATTTATTCATATTGAAAAGCAAGGAGACATAACTACATCACTTACAAACCGCAAGAAGTATGAGTGTGCCAATGGTAACATTACTGGTGGAGTGCAATCGAATTGAATGAGGAGATGGTAATGGAAGCATCGGTGTAATAATTTAGAGAGCAAAGAAAAAACTGGTGAAGCCGACAAAGAAGGCAGTCCTGTATTTTATCAAAATCTGCAGCTATTTCAGTTATAAACTAATTGGTTTTTTCCCCTTCCATCTTCATATATGTTTTTGCCTTAGCATGTAAATTGGTTTCCAACTCCTAGGCATGTTTGTAAATATGCTAAATTGTTTGTATCGTTTGGATATACTATACTTTGTGCACTATACTACCATGGATATACTATATAGAACCAAATGGAACCAAAAGAATTTAGAACCAACGCACGTGCACTATACTAATACTTTACACAATTCATTATTTAATAATTTGAAGATCCATGGTAGTATAGTGCATAAAGTAGTATATAGTAAAGATTAGATGCACTATTTTAAGATTAAAAAAATTGTATCTTTTGGGTATTCCATGATTTGCCAATGTTAAAAAAATAACCCTGAATTTTTCCACAAACAACCATGGATCTTCATAATTTTCACAAAGACCATTGAAATTCCATATATTTATAGAAAAATACTGAAATTTTATAATTTTTTACAGATAAACCCCTATCTAGGTCAAAACTTAAATCTTAAGAATATTGAAAGAAGTATATGTTCTAAATTGTAAGAAAATTACAAATAAGTCCTCAAATATTGTTATAATTACATTCAAAATGAAACTCTTTCATTAATTAAATAATAAATTGTGTAAAGTATTAGAACATAAAGCAAATATGTCCACGTGCGTCAAATGTTGTTATAATTACATTCAAAATGAAACTCTTCCATTAATTAAATAATGAATTGTGTAAAGTATTAGAACATAAAACAAATATGTCCACGTGCAATGCACGTGCACTATACTAGTATAAAAAAAAAGGAGAAGAAAACAAATGTGACTACTGTAAACAATTTGTTCAGTACGACTAATTCATGTAGTTGTAATGGTTTGTCTCACTACGAGCCTATGAGAAGTACATGCTAGTACACTATAATTGTATAAAAGTTTTAGTTGGCACTAACAACCTACACATGCTTAGACATAAGCTGTAGTTACAACTTTTAAGATATAGAAGGGGTTAAATTGTAAGTCCAGTTGGAACCAAACCCAAAAATATTGATATCTAGTACATCCACAAACAATTGCATCTAAAACTGCAGTAAAAAAAACCTACACCTACAATTGCATTGTGATTACATTTGCAGCAAACCAAAGAAGCCCTTAGTGTGGGATAGGGCGTGCCATCTGTTATAGGGTTTTCACCTTAAATGCGTGAACTTCTTTAATAATATGGTTGACAAAGGCTTGTTTGACAACTATATATACAGCTGGCTTTTAATGTGTCTTCTTTTTCATTTTCTAAAACTTCTATTAGGAGAGCCGTAAACTTGAGCTTTATAACGAAATTTGAAAATTGGTCATAGTCAATGTTGTGGCTGCTTGTACTTGCCTCATATTACTGGATGATTTTCCATTAGCTATGTCAAACCCCAAAATAGAGTTATTACACACGGGTTCTAAAATTAGAGTGTGAGGCTTAAGATAAAAACTATGCAATGTTAACCACGAAATATATATATATATATATATATATATATTACATAACATGCTCCTCTTCTCTAGCTATTTACAAGTCAATTTACAAACTTTAGCCCGATTTTTTTTCTAGAAAAGGTCCTCTACTTATGCTCCCTCTTTATCTGGAAAAAATTGAATTAATCAAATAATGAGCTACACTAGCCCAGTGAGATTACCAATATATTATATAGTGAGATTTAGTAAAATAATGGACAGTCAGTAACCAAGAAAAATTCAAACTTAATCAATAGTGAGAATAAATAACAATATATAGAATATAGTTTCTCAGTGTCCACTTTAACTTTTGTCTCCATTCACGATAAAATGATAGCAATAACGATAACAATTTAAGGCATAAGCCTTGCATAATCCAGATATATGCCGATCAATCAATAATGATTAGCAATTTAAGGCGTAAGCCTTGTATAATCCAGAATATGCCGATCAATCAATAATGATTAATTTACCCATTTAACACTGACGGATCCATTTCAGTGTTATCAATCAATAAGTGTGGCACTGATGTTGTAGGCAATATGTATGCACAAACTAATGAATTTATTTGAAACCAACAATTATAATCTTAATTATTTATATATAGAGGTAAAATTAGTTTTAAACTTATTCTATTTCAAAGCGTAGCAGAGAATTTAAGGTAATACTGAAATGATAGGTTCATAAGAGTAAAAATATGATCGTATTAAACTTTATATGTTGAACCAAATAAAAAAAATGTGGGTACGCAGTTACGCTTTAGGAAATGCCAAAATTATATATATAGTTTGCATAAACTAAGTGGATAAAAATCCATTTAAGATCAAAGACTTGGTACCTTAGTTCTTCATATCTAAGTGAAACTAATAGAATAGTTATTCTTAGGAGTAAATTGCAATGACTAATTTAAAAAGTTTGAAGCATGGGCATGTTTCAACAGAAAAACATGCATAAAAAATATAACGTGCAATTAACAAATAACTACATGAGAAAATAACTTTTGCATAGAAAGTATATTATACTAGATAATCTCACTTGACTATTATCTTATAGATAAAATGAATTAAGGACAGCACTGAAGGAGGATAATGTATAATCGAGGAGCTTGCTCAAACCAGTGTTGAAAATAACGCGTTTCGTAACGCAAAATAACGCTTAACGTAACGTAACGTTAGCTTAACGTTACGTAACGTTTGAAAATAACGCAAAGACAAAATAACGTAGGTTATTTTAGCTATAACGTAAGTTACGTAACGTAACGGCGTAACATTTTATAACTTAGGTTATTTTGTCAATGGCTTAGATTGCTTTTAAAAGAAATGAACGGCTGTGATTGAGTTATAACTTAGGTTATTTTCCACCTCCCCTTCCCCTTTTCACGCCTTTTTCATGCCGCCCGCAGCTCCGCCTCCCTTTCCCCTTTTCACTCCCTTTTCACGCCGCCTTTTTCACGCCGCCCGCAGTTCCGCCTCCCCTTCCCATTTTCACTCCTTTTTCATGGATTCCAACCCAACCTAATAATTTCATACTTCATAGTTTATGGATCATTGGATCCTTTTTGGTTTTGAACTTGAAGTATTTTATGCTTTTGGATTGATTGTTAAGGCAAACATGGTTGATTTGGTGTGAAATTGTGATGATATATTGATTTGTGAAATTGAAAATTACGATGATTATTCATATTTTTTATTTTGAATGTTATATATCTATAAATTATTTAAATAATAATAAATTATTTAACCTACGTTACGCTATGCGTTATCGCTATTGTAACCTAACCGGAGGTAAACGTTACGCTATACGTTATCGCTATTTTCAACATTGTCTCAAACTATCATAACAAGTCAATGACAAAATAAATGAAAGGAAGGGAAACGTTGCATATTTCATAACCATATTATATTGGATAACCTCACCCTTTTTGTATTCTTGTACTTATTCTATTAGAGCTTCACTTCTATATGTATACCTCCTTTCCCTTTTTTCTTTTTCTTGTTTTCTCGATTTGGTGTGGTAGTTAGCCTAACCAAGACCCCTATATATAGTCATGGCTTTAGTTGATTTTTGTATTTTTTTATTCTTATCATGATGATTCACCTGGACACCTCATAGTTATCATGATGATTCACATGGGCACCTCATGGTTATCATAATTTTCATGATGATTCACCTGGACACCTCATTGTTATCATAATTTCTCATGATGATTCACCTGGACACCTCACAGCTATCATATTGTTCATGATGATTCACGTGGACACCTCATAGTAAAAAAAAAATTACTTGGGTGAGCTAAGCATTCAATCCTCTAGATATTTTTGACTTGCACTTTTAAATAAAAGGAACCTTAATTGCAGTTGTATATTAGATTATACTAGTAATAATAAAAAAAATTCATGCAATATTAATTTGGGTCATATGTCTTCTAGCTATTCATGCAAAGTTGCAACGTGCTGGATGTGGTGTTACAAGCTACATCTTAATATCTGTTGATTATTTAATATTTTCTTGAAGGTTTTTTTTTCTTTAATCAGGTTTCAAGTAAAAAAGAAGCAATTTTTCCGCAATTTCATGACAATTATGCTCTTTGGTGCAGTTGGTACTCTTATCTCCTTTGCCATAATTTCTTTTGGTAAGATTTCAACTTTAGCATTTTGAATAAATTTTATCTACCTAATCAGATGCTGATAAATTCTTACCTAAAGAAATGAGTTGTAAAGTATAGTTTGTGAAATATTTTCCTATTATTACCTGACAACATCTTGACAAGAAAGCTGTTGGGTTTCAGATTCCTTATAGGAATGTGTTCCTATTGGAAAATTCTCTCTTCCAAATGAATTTGCTGAGAATGGAAAAAGTTGCAACCTGATATAAACTTACTATAGCTTGATTCTGACAATGATTCATTAGATTCATAAGAACGTGATTCTGTTTGTGCATGGCATAACTTGGACATGACTAATTATGATACAAGCTCCTTGTTACCAGGCAAATAGAGTTCACTAAGTAACAGAAACATATTTTCTGCTTGCTGAAATATCTTCTAAAGGTTTGCTAAACCGCAACTTAGGTTGGATGCTGTGGTAACGATAAAAGGATAACTGTGAAAAGTTAATATGAACATCTTTTCCTCAACAAAGTTCTGTTTTGGGTGATGAAGCAGCTGTGACCAGTTAATGACAATAACAGGTGGTGTGCCATCAGGGATGGATACAGAAATTTTTTCCTATGGGGGCAAAAGAATACACACACACACACACACACACACACACACACATATATACATACATACACATACATACATACATATATAAAGAACAGGGAAACTTATTGTGCAATAATCACAAAGATCATCTAAGCATATAAATTTTTTCATTATATGGTGTTGAATATCAAGAAAATTCCTCAATTTCAAAGCTAGTTGTTTAGAAAAACTCAAACGTGCAAGTCTGCAAAGAAAATCCTCCCTGAGATGAAGCCCTAGACCCTTCTTTTCTTCTCAATTAAGCCCTAAAATCCTTCGCTCTGACTGAGCACCAGCGTTTTCAAAGCCCTAGGACCAGCGATTTTCTTTTGTTTTCATTGGGAGGAACCGTTTTTTATTTTGGCGGGAAAATTTGAGTTGGATACAAAGAATAAAAGAAGTTAAGAGGGATAGCTCAAGTTTATTGGGCTGAAATAACATTCCTGGGGATATTGGCTTGTTGTACACTTGTGCTAAATGGATAGGTAGAGAATTTTGAATGAACATGGAGTATTGGGCTTAAATATTTGTGGGTTGAACTTAAATGATAGTTGGGTTGGGGTCCTTGGGGGCACCACTATAAATCTTATGGGGGGCACTGTGTAAAAATGTAGCTACTTAGCAAAAAAATTTACCATGTTTGCGGGGGCACGTGCCCCCACAACATAGGACGTAGGTCCGTCCCTATGTGCGATGAACAATGCTGAATGGAACAATAAAAGCGATCATCAGTTGGTTTTACTTATTTGGGTTGGTGAAGTTTTGCACCAAATGTACTCTGGACAACAAAGATAATTTCGTCCGTTCTTGAAACTTAGGAAGCAAGGAAGTGAGTTACAAGTAGGCAACTAAAAGTAAAGGGCAGAAAGTTGGATGCTGTTACATCAGACCATGCTTCATATGAAGAGTTGCAATTGCTTATAAATTTCTACATTAAATGCTTTTCATGTTCTAAAATCCAAAAAATTAATAAAGAGATCTATGAGGTGTATTGTAGTCACAGATGCATCAATTGAAAGCATTTGGGTTTCAATTGATAGTAGATACTCAATATTTCTTGTTAGGTGTAGATATCCTATTTGAGATGGAGTGTCAATAATCTTATATAATGTTGGCCCACATCTCAATATGTGAATTTTTTGTGACGGTATAGTGCAGAAAAAATCTCTTAGCCTTTCTGTTTCCCATATATGACTGCATGTAAAGTTTGCTTTTCCTTGTACATTATTTGATATCAATTTTTGACCTTTTCTCCCAACTCGTGTGTATTTTTCATGTGGAAACAGGTGCAGTCGAAGTCTTCAAGAAAATGGACATAGGTGGTTTGGAGCTTGGTGATTTTCTTGGTAAATTATCTACTCATAACTTGTGCTGTCTTTCATTTATTTGCGAGATTTGCTTGGTAAATTATCTACTCATTACTTGTTCTGTCTTTCATTTATTTGCGAGATTTTCTTGGTAAATTGCCTACTCATTACTTGTGCTGTCTTTCTTTTATTTGCAAACAGTTCTCGTTTTTTTGTCAATGCACGTAATTTCCTAAGTATTTTCCTCAGCCTTTCTGTGTATATGTGTATATTTGCAGCGATTGGGGCTATCTTTTCTGCAACAGATTCTGTTTGCACCTTGCAGGTTTGCCAATATTGAGAATTACTAGCATTATTGTAACTTCTAAAGAAAATTTCGATATAATAAAAAAGCTTTTACTTCCATATAGGTTCTTAATCAGGACGAGACTCCTCTGCTGTATAGTTTGGTTTTTGGTGAGGGTGTTGTCAATGATGCCACATCAGTGGTGCTTTTCAATGCAATCCAGAACTTTGATCTTGTACATATTGATGCTGGTGTGGGACTGAAGTTTGTCGGAAACTTCTTTTATTTATTTGTATCCAGTACCCTGTTGGGAGCATGTGTAAGTTCTTTATCTACTGCTAGATTACAAGGAACAAGCTGGTCCTCCCTCTCTTTTCTATTCAATGTATATTGGCTGATAAACTGTCTCATTTGCAGACTGGATTGCTCAGTGCCTACATCATAAAAAAATTATACTTTGGCAGGTTCGTGGTTTATACTTTGGTTGCACATAGAACTAGAGATGTAATTGTTACTAACTTACTTTTCTAGTTGCCCTAACTTGTTTGTTAAATGGGATTGAGATTTTAGATTGTTCTTTGCAATGAGCCTTAGTTCAGAGCTTCACAATGTTATCTTGACTTGGTCTTGTGTGACCACATCAACTATTCTCAGTTGAGAGAATAGTGGGGAAGTGGGTTGTTGAGAGAATCTCTCTCAAGAGGCAGTAATTGAGGGGGTAGAGATGATGGGTAGGCTCTTTAAATAGTGCAGTCTTCTCTTGAGAAGATACAACATAGAAAAAACAATCCCTATTCTATCACCGGAGCCCCCTCAAAAGAAATCACATCATTCTTCCCTTCTTCTCTGTTTTCGCACACTAGTATCAGAGCAGCCTCGTTATCCGATCCCACTTCATTTAATTCGTATAGAGACGTGTCTTCATTTTTTTCTCCTCAAACTTTTCTCACGAAGTCTTGATTTTCGTGTCAGTGTAGTATATGAAAGGCAAATTGTTTTCAATTTCTGTTCCCAAGGTAGTTTTTCTAAACAAGTAATTAAGAACCAGACTTGCTCCCACGTGAAACACCATTCAGGTCACATCAAATTTTTTAAGCTTTTCTCTCTCTTCGCAAAGTGACTTTGTCCACTCATTCGGGTCATATATCGAAGTTTTTTTATTTTCTTTTAAGCTTTTCCCCCCCTCTCTACCGTGAATTTGTCCAATACTTTGAGTCACATCAAAGTTTTTTTTAACATCCTTCAAGAAACAGCTTTAGTCATTAAAAAAAAAAGGACCCATTACTTTCTTATTTCTAATTTCAAATCCATGAAGAAAGCTCTCAAATTGCAGCCTCTGATCCAGACCCTATCATAACCAAATCTCGCTGTCGTGGACCAGATCTCAGTCCAATTAGATCAATCTGGAGCAGAACCATACTTGATCCAATCATCTTCAAGTCAGATTAGACAGTTAGTTCTCCGATCAACTCCACTAGGCGAAGAGCTTGCACGAACAGGAGTCGACTTCTTCCATTGGACCTAATCAGTTTTTCGTAGTCAGGTTCTTCAAATTTATTTAATATTTTTTAACCATATTCTATTTTTAGTATATTTATCTATATATCAACCTTATACATTTTAAATTGAAAATTAGTTTTAGTATATTTGTCTATATCCAACCATATTCTATTTTTTAACCATTCTTCCACTTGACAAGTTTTTCCTAGTTCTGATAGAACAAGTCAAAGTCAGTAGCAAGGGAAGAAGGGACTAAACTTGCTTACAAAGTAGGAGCGGAAGCGAAAAGGCTAGAGAAAAGAAAGGCGATTCCTTTAGAGCTTGGCACGTTGTTGGAATAGGCTGTGATGCCAGATAGTGAAGTTCAAAGGGGAAGAAAGCCAATAACTCTTTCTTTATCATCGTAAGTAGCAATAGACTGATCTTAGTCTTTTGACTCTTCTCTGATCTTAGTCTTTTGACTCTTCTTTCACTTGATTCCCCACTCTTAAAGGGAAGTGAGCCGAGGAAAGGCAGTGAAGGTTCGACTCTGTTCGAGTCAGTGAAAGCCCTGGGTTGCGTAGAGAAAGGATAATGGAATTATGAAGCCAAAAAGACCTACTTTTCTCAATCAAAGGAGAGCTACTAGCCATTTGGTAGAGAACAAAAACTAATTTTCAATTTAAAATGTATAAGGTTGATATATAGACAGATATACTAAAAAAATAGAATAATGTTAAAAAAATATTAAATAAATTTGAAGAACATGACTGCGAAGAACTGATTAGGTCTAAGTGAAAGAAGTCGACTCCGGTTCGTGCAAGCTCTTCGCCTAGTGGAGTTGATTGGAGAACTAACTGTCTAATCTGACTTGAAGATGATTGGATCAAGTATGGTTCTGTTCCAGATTGATCTAATTGAACTAAGATCTGGTCTACGGCAGCGAGATTTAGTTGTGATAGGGTCTGGATCGGAGGCTGTAGTTTGAGAGCTTTCTTCTTGGATTTGAAATCAGAAATAAGAAAGTAATGAGTCATTTTTTTTAAAAATGACTAAAATTGTTTCTTGATGGATGTTAAAAAAACTTTGATGTGACTCAAAGTATTGGACAAACTCACGATAGAGAGAGGGGGAAAAGCTTAAAAGAAAAAAAACTTCGATATATGACCCGAATGAGTGGACAAAGTTCGCTTTGCAAGAAGAGAGAAAAGCTTTAAAAATTTTGATGTGACCTGAATGGTGTTTCACGTGGGATCAAGTCTGGTTCTCAATTACTTGTTTAAAAAAATTGCATTGGAACAGAAATTGAAAACAATTTGTCTTTCCTGTACTGCACTGACACGAAAATCAAGACCTCGTGAAAAAAGTTTGAGGAGAAAAAAAGTGAAGACACGTCTCTATACGAATTAAATAAAGTGGGATCAGATAACAAGGCTGCTTTGATACCAGTGTGCGAAAATAAAGAAGAAGGGAAGAATGATGTAATTTTTTTTAGGGGGCTGCGTGATAAAACAGGGATTATTTTTTGTGTTGTATCTTCTCAAGAGAAGACTGCACTATTTAAAGATGTTACTCATCATCTCCACCCCCTCAATTACTGCATCTTGAGAGAAATTCTCTCAACAACCCACTTCCCCACTATTCTCTCAATTGAGAATAGTTGACTTGGTCAATGTTTGTAACTCAGATATGGATACGTTCCATCCCTTAAAAGAGTTTAGGGAGGTTTAGAGGCAAAAGAACAAATAATGATAAAACACTCTTCCTTGCTGTTTTTAAATTAAAGAGTTAAATTCCACAAAACTGCCATAACTTTTGGGGTTTTGCACAAAGCTACCATAAACTTTTCTTAGTAGAGAAACCATGCATTTTCAAAATGTCAGAATATTTCCATGAAATTTTGGAAATTTTTGCGAACGATGTTAATTGGGTAAAAAGTCTAAACTTCCTTATTTATATCTATCATCCAACAAAGTTCATATGGATAATGTAGAACATGTATAGAGTACATAAGGGCAAAATTGTCCAAAATGTGAAATTTGCAAAGCAGGAGATAACTTACCCTAACAGTTATCAGGTATAGTAGTTTATTGAAGAAAAGGTCATTGTGCTACAAAGGCATCTGCATCTTCTGAAATCACTGCAAACTGCCAATAACGCATTGTTTAACCACAGGCATTCTACTGATCGTGAAGTCGCGCTTATGATGCTCATGGCTTACCTTTCATATATGCTGGCTGAGGTGATAATCTTCTCAAATAACACCAGACAAGTTTTAGAATTTTCTTTATTTTTTAGGGTTGCATGCCCTCAGAGATATTAACGAAGCTTAATTTCATTGCAGTTATTAGATCTAAGCGGTATTCTTACAGTGTTCTTTTGTGGGATAGTGATGTCTCACTATACCTGGCATAATGTGACAGAGAGTTCAAGAATTACCACCAAGTATGTTGACTTTTTGCATGCTTGAAGAACAGATATTACTGTTTCATTAACTCATATGATAAATAAGTATTGTTTCAGCCAATAACTTTTTTCTTAAACAATCTTTTTTCAGGCATGCTTTTGCAACTTTGTCATTTATTGCTGAGGTGTTCCTGTTCGTTTATGTTGGCATGGATGCATTAGACATTGAAAAGTGGAGATTTGTCAGTGATACGTGAGTTTTATATCTGACTTGTTGACAATTATTTTGACTATCTGTATATTCTGCATGTGGCTCCCATGAAATGGCTTTCTTTTGAGTTAGAAAACACTTTTGCAATTTTTTCCCCAATAGCAACAAGCCCTTGGTATGTGCCCAAGCATCAATGTTAGTCTACGTTTGTGTTTATAGGTGTAAATGTTCATGTACATGTATCATTGTATTCACATGTACCTATGTGTAAGATTTTCCTTTATAAGGTGTTTATCAAATGCCTATATTATATGAATGATTTTCACGAATTGATATCATCAATCCTGTGGTTATGATATCTGAACCATTTTTATTGCAGTTCTTGCACATAGACGGTAATACCCAGGATCTTGACACCTAAAAACCAAACATACTACACACACTAGATGAATAAATCAAAAGGACAAGAGATCATGGTTCTGAAAAAATCTGGGATTTTTAGTGTATGAGACGTCACTATCATATGGGGAAGCATGAGATTACATGGGAGCTCTCAAATCTCTAATCATCTCCCTCGTCATATTTGATATTAAATTATTAATACTGCTCTCTTACTCTAACCACGAGAGGAGCTGCTGACCTGCTGCTTTTATCTTATTATGATGAACTTTTTTGCAGAGCTGTCTGATATGTAATGTGTCCCTTTCCAGTTCTTTCTTCTTAATATAGTGCTTCATCCATCAAATGTTATTTTTCTTTTATTCGCCCTGAAACTCTGCCTTTTATGAGAAAATTTTATATACAAAATTTCTTTACAGTTAAGCACCTATTAACATTTTAGGGTAAATTTCAGGTAACCACCTCATCTATAGCTTCATTAGCAGTTATCAACTCTCAACTCATTTATTAACACTTCTCACCCCTCAATT